ACTTATACCAGTTTATATGTCATTTCTGTCCCTAGCCTTTGGGAACAGAGCATTGACCATGCTGCACAAAACTATTGTAAATCTTGTGCATAAATAAGTCACTGTTACTGTCTGAGAGCCTCTGTGTATATTGCTGAGGAACAGCCATTGCATCATAATTACGAATGAGCACAAAACAGTAATGCTCGCTCCGTTGAGCCTCAACGTGACTCTCACATGGCTTTGACAGTTCTATTTTGTCCATCCTGTATAGATAAAATTGTTATGCCTTCCCTGTGTTTTGACAGTTGTGAGCCAACCTGTTCCCTGGGGTGACCAGGGGGCCTGAAGTAGCAGGACTCTTGAGTAAGGTAAATATTTTATGTGATGCTTCTGCTACCAAAAGCACACTACAGGGAGCATTCTGTTAGCCATGTGCTGCTGCTGTGTCCCAGGCTGCCTGTAATATTGCTGGGTTGCAGGTGGGCTCCTTGGGGTCCATGCTAAGATGTAGGGATTGGGTCTAATGTAGGTAAGGGAGGGAAAGTGGGCTGTGGGGGAGGGCACCGCACAGTGCAGAGTATAGTCAGGGATATAAGGCTGTGGGGGTGAGTAGAGGACCCTGGCAGTTCAGTGGGAGCATCACAGATTAAAACCATCAGGCAGTCAAGCAGGGTTGCCACCCCAAGAAAACTTTTTATATTATAAGCTTTTTATTGACTGTAACAGGGAGCTAGAGGCTCCTGTTATTTTAAGGGGATGCCACAGCAAGCTAAGTATTCTGTGTGGGGCTGGCAGCTGGGCTAAGGCTAGCTGCTAGGTAGCAAGCAGGCCAGAAACAATAAGGATAGGACCTACCCTCCTAGGACTGACTATCTGGGAGCTAGCTGCACCACAGTAAGCAATTAAGGGGTAGACATCCCAGCACTCCAGAAGTAAAAGCTACAGGCTGGCCATCAAGCTAAAGCAGAAACCCCTGTGTGTGGCTGGAGAACCACCTGACAGGAACGGGTGGGGTTTTGGGGGCACATAAGACCAGTGCCTCAGAGCAAGCAGTCAGTCTGCCACTGCAGGCTCTAGCTAGAGTTGCTCGTAAGGGAGATGGTTGCAAAAGATGGACTGGCAGGCACCTGAGGTGTCCCAGAGAGCTGCAAGGAAAGGGCAAAGGGGACTTATGGCCTGTGGTGAGGCAAGGACCCAGAGCTGGGTAAATTTTAGTTGTGAAACAGTCATTCGTATTTACGTTGTGATTTAAGCTTGAGATCAGAGGACTGGGTTGTGGCTCCAGAAGGGGCATGGAGGTCATAAGGGCCCCTAAGAGGCATTTTACACAGAACTCTGTAAGGGTCAGGGACTATAACGGGGCTGAATGGCACAGGGGTATCCCGAGAAAGGTGAGACAGAGATGAGGCCCAGAAGCCAAGGTCTAAGATAGTGGACCTAGGCTGAGGGGACACAGCCAGAAAAAAGGGGCCAAATCCGGAAAGGCTGAAGCCCCAGTAAAGGTTTGAGCCTTGAGGAGGCCAAGTTGTCTATGGGGATCAGCAGCCCCTCTCCAAAATGATCTAGTACCACCTGCGAGGTATGGCTACAGGTTCAAATGGAGGCCACGGTAGCCCATAAGGCAAATGGTGCCCAGAGGCACTAATAGGTAGGGTGACCTTATGTCTTGGTTTAGCTGGAACAGTCCTGGATATCAGACAGTGGTTGCAGCCAGCTCTTAAGAATTATAATGGGTGCCCTGGAAATGCAGGGACGCAGGGTACAGTCTGGCCGGGAGCTGAAGCAGTGAGGAAAGCCTTGCAGGTAGGCAGGCAGACACCTCTTCCTACCCAGCAAGCAGCCCTGGCCCCACTGACTTGTGAGAGTGCAGGAGAGGGATCAGTGCCCCAGATTTCCTGGATGATATCCTGGATTTCCATATGGTCAGCCTACTAATAGGGCCAGTAGGGCCACACCTTAGTATCTGAGGGGCAAGGCAAAGTATCTGGGGCCCTGAAGGGGGCAGCCTCCCCAAACCTTATAGGTAACATCAAGGCATGGCAGGTGAGATGAAAAGGGAGGGTACCCATAGGAGCTGGAGTACAGGCAGGGGTAAAGTGGCCACCAGAGCATAATAAATACCCCTGGGACTCTAGTCCTGTCACACTGATCACCAAACTTTTGTACTTGATGTTAAACCCCTAAATTTAAAACGTTTTAATTGGGGCCTGTAGGGCACATTTAACCACACATTACACCAAGTTAAGCAGAACAGGGACTTGAACCTGGGTGTCCCACATCCCAAGCCTCTCTTGAAGTGCTTTAGATCTGAGACATTCCTAGTGAAAGTTTTGTGAAAACTAGCGTCCATGTAGTGTACATGCAGGTTTAGCTTTGATGAAACCATACATCTCATCAAAATTTTCATTTTGGCAAAAATGCCTTAACTCGCATTATTTTTACATTTTACAGGTTTATAGTTATAAGGCTTTATTCGGGTATTGCTGCAGGCCCTGCAAGCCAAACTAACTTCCCTGCCTTTCAAACATGTGTTTGGAAGAACAAACAGTTCTTTAGACCTGATATTCAAATTTCTTTTGCACTGCACTCAGAATGCAATGGCCTTTGATTGTAAGCTTCACTGTATCATCAGAGAGCTGGTACACGTGATCAAAGCCACAACACTCTAAGGACTGAACTTGAATGACGAATGTCACAAAATGCTGTTACACTGGCTCTCTCCAGGGAATGTAATACTGTGCCCAGTACGTGATCTGTGTCACCTGGAGTCTTTGTCATTTCTCTTGGTGATTTGCAGAATCCTTGCATATTTGCACTGGGAAAGGAGACACACTAGCTTAGAATCAGTGCACTTGAGGTTGAAGTGAATGTGACTCTTTAGGTTTTCTGTAAAGCACACATACCCTTTGAGAGAAGATCTGGCAAGTTTTCCAAACTCCTTCAGCTACCTTTAATTTTGGTCTGTTTTTATTTTCACATTATATGTTTCCATTTTACTGTAACTATTACACTCTTAAATAGTTTCCTGGACAATGTATTGTATGTATATTAAACCTTGAAATTACATAATAATTTTGCTGGTAAATGACATGCAAAACCATCAGCACTATTTTTGGAGTACTTCACATTGTTGTTATTTCTTTGGAATTGTTGTGCATTGGAACCTAATTGGGGCAAAGAGCACATTGTTCTAGGAACTGTACAAACACAGAACAAAATGATTTCTCTGTCCCAAAGATCATACAAGCTTCAGAGTGTTGCAAGCTTATTAAAATGATCAGGGTTTCCTTCCCATGATTTTCCAGCAGGTCTTAGCCACTCCCCTACAAACTAGTTACCTCTGAGCAATGTACTCTCTCCCAACCCACAATCTTTACACAGTAGGAATTTGAATTTAATGAAAGGAATTGAGCCACACACTGTTGCTAGAGCTGGGCAGAAAAGATGTCTCTGAAAAATGCTACAGAAAACAAAAATACCTTTTATTGTCTCAGATTTTGTTTTTGGACTGTTTGTCAATAGATTAGACCAGAATGTCTAGTCCTGGGATAACAGAGTCTTGGTGAAATAGCTCGTATGACTGGAGCACTGTCATGGATGGGTACAAACTGTTCAGGAAGGACAGGCAGCTGAGAAGAGGAGGAGGAGGAGGAGTTGCTCTTCATGTAAAAGAGCCATATGATTGCTCATAGCTTCAGTATGAAACTGGAGAGAGGCCTATTGAAAGTCTCTCTGGGTTAAGATTAGAGGGATGAACAACAAGGGTGATGTTGTGGTGGGTGTGTGCTATAGACCACCAGATGAGGAGGAGGATGAGGAAGATGAGGCTTTTTTCAGACAACTAGCGAAAGCATCTGGATCACATGCTGGTTCTCATGGGGGACTTCAATCACCCTGACATCTGTTGGGAGGGCAATACAGCACTGCACAAGCAATCCAGGAAGTTTTTGGAGAGTGTTGGCAGCAACTTCCTCGTGCAAGTGTTGGGGAGAGCAACTAGGGACCGTGTTCTTCTTGATCTACTGCTCACAAACAAGGAAGAATTGGTGGGGGATGTAGAAGTGGAGGGCAAGTTGGGCAGCAGTGACTATGAAATAATTGAGTTCAGGATCCTGACAAAAGGAAGAAAGGAGAGCAACAGAGTATGGACCCTGGACTTCAGAAAAGCAGATTTTGACTCCCTTAGGGAACTGATGGGCAGTTCCCCTGATTCCCTGGGAGGTCAGTCTGAGAGGGAAAGGAGGCCAGGAGAGTTGGTTATATTTTAAAGAAACCTTACTGAGGGCACAGGAACAAACCATCCTGATGTGCAGGAAGAATAGCAATTGTGGCAAGCGACCAGCTTGGCTTAGCAGAGAACTCTTAAACCCAGAAAGGAAGCTTACAAGAAGTGGAAACTTGGACAAACAACTAGGGAGGAGTATAAGACTATTGCTTGGGCATTCAGGGATGAAGTGAGGAAGGCTAAAATGCAATTGGAGTTGCATCTAGAAATGTAAAGGATAACAAGATATATTTTATTAGATAGTAGGAAAAATTCAAATACTTGGAAAAATTCTTCTTAGCAAGCTTTTGGGTTTAAAGCTTCTTGAATGGAATGGAGTTCTCTTCCTGGATGGAATGAATAGTAAAGAAGCCAGAGGTCAGGGATGAAGTGAGGAAGGCTAAAATGCAATTGGAGTTGCATCTAGAAATGTAAAGGATAACAAGATATATTTTATTAGATAGTAGGAAAAATTCAAATACTTGGAAAAATTCTTCTTAGCAAGCTTTTGGGTTTAAAGCTTCTTGAATGGAATGGAGTTCTCTTCCTGGATGGAATGAATAGTAAAGAAGCCAGAGGCTGATATGCATGGAGGTAAGCCAGTCAATGAAGATGAAAATTGAGGAGTGTGGCAGGGCACTGTTGGTGCCTGCCACTTTAAGGGCCTGGAGCTGGCAGGTGGCAGGTGCCCGATGGAGGGCGCCAT